GCGAGGCCACACCCTGCTGGACAGAGCGGGCGGCGGTGGAACAGGGCCCGGAGGCGGAGCTTGGCCGGGGACTCACCTGGACATACAGAGCGTGAGCCAGAAAAGGGAGTTTTCTCAGGACACGGCCGCTGAGGCCCTCACTCTTCCTGTGAACGTAACCACACTCGGGGCGTCAACTCCACACGGACCGCTGCATGTTTCAGGACTAGACCCTGCACGTCCCTCCCCCAGAGCCCCTCGAAGGGGGCCAGGACAGGGTCCTGACGCCACCCACGGCCTCGCAAGGAGCACAGTGGGGTGGGCACACGGCTGGCAACAAGGGCTCCCCCGGGAACCGGGCTGGTTCCCGTCTCGGTGAATTTTTGCCCAAGTCTCTGAACTGCTCTCCTCTTTCCCACCGCAGCCACGTGAACTAAATCTCTCCAGCAGGTAGTGACACCACAGCCCAGGCCCCGCCAGAGCCACCAGCTGGTGTCTGCAGCGCAGCCCACCTAAGGGCGCCTGCAGCCTCCCTGATTTCTCTCCAGTTTATGCAAATTCTAACTGTCCTTCGGGGCTCTGCTCCATTTCCCAGCTTCCCTTGATCACCAAGGCCATGTGAGAACTTGAAAACGCTACCAGCCTGGGCCTTGAGCAGGCGTGCCCGCGATTCTCGATGCTCACTTGTTACGTGTCCCTCGGTGCCCGGGTAGCTGGACCACTTTCCTTTATTTCCCAAAGCACCAAGCCTAGCGCCCTAATTGTTTACTTGTTTAACTGTTTGCTTATCAAAGCAAAAGCCTCCATTTTATTTTCTCGCCAAATTGTAAAAGTTCACCAGATATTATTGCTTAAGAAATCAGTAATGCGTCAAAGAGGGCCTTAATCTTAATGTCTTTCCAGATACAAGGGCAGCACTTTGTTCATGGTCCGCTGTCACGTCTAGGAGGTAGGAGGGCAGCTGCCTTCTATCCTCCTGTCCGGGAGCCCAGGGGGGATCAAGCCCATGCTGTCTGACCCCAAACTACCACCACGGCTGCCACAGGCAATTACGACGACCTCCCCGCCAATCCCAAAGCAAACGGGCTTCTCTTGGTTACGAAAGCGAGGTCGGCGCTCACCGTGAAATTTCACTCAGAAGGAGGCTCAACTTGGACACGTTGTTCTCAATGAAGCCAATCATCTCCAGCTCACGGAGGGTCAGCAGCTGCTGGCGAGGGTATACGATCTGACACTGTGGGGACACAGGCAGGGTCAGCAGCTGCTGGCGAGGGGATACGATCTGACACTGTGGGGACACAGGCAGGGTCAGCAGCAGGGAGAGCACTCAGGGGCAGGCACACTCCACGCCACATCTCAGACACCCAAGCGGGGCCGCTGGGCCTGCACGGGCCCCAGGAAGCAGCTGTGTCACACGGCCCCTCTTCTGCTAACAAAGGCAGGAATACAGGCAGCAAAACATGTCTCAGAAACCACAGCGCTCAGCCTCTTCTGCTCCTGTGGGCAAAACATGTCCTCAGCACGCGTCAGGTGGGGAGGAACTCAGAGGTGTTGAGTCCAGCCCGATATTCAGTTTCAACCATGCGTCACATCCCACAATGGACAGAGTTGGGCCCTGGAGCCGGACTTGGCCGGCCTTTCAAGGAGGGTCTCTGTTCACTGTTTTAAAACCAAGACTCTCATTTGGTGGAATGACAGACAGCCTCTAACTGACCATGGACCCGGGCCCTAGAGTTCACCTCCCAGACCATGTGTCTGCACGTGGGACGCTCCTTCCCAAGCACCCGCGCTAAACTGTCAGGCTGCCATGCTGCCGCTGCCACGCTGTCTGATTCAGAAGGCACGAGAGGAGAAAGGAGAGGTCTGGCTGCACATTTGGGAGGGCTGGTGGGGGTCGTAGGTAAAACTAAGCAACGGGGTCTGTGCTGGATGTGTTCTGACCTTCCCACCTGACTGCGTGACACTCCCTCAGGCTTCCGTGGCCTCCGTGGACCCCCCCCAGGGACCTGAGCCATCCAGCAGGCTCCCGACAGCGCAAGGCCACAGTCCCGCGCCGACAGCCTTCAGGGCCGGCCAAACCGCTGCCACATCGGAATGTCTTCATTTCCCATAAACCGTCTAGGAAACGACACCTGCTCCAGGCACTCGGCTCCCAGAAAACGTCCGAACGCCTGGCGAAACCTCAGCGTGGCCCCTGGACTCACAGCACGGCGCGACACGGCACCCTGGAAAGGCCCCTGGGGGCCTCCAGCAGGCCCCGCCACCACGCAGGCCCCTAAACGGCGGCACCACGTCGAAGCTCCATGCCCCACCCCGCCCCCCCATGGCGCGGGAAAGCAGGAGGGCCCGGGACAGCGCACCCGGGGCCGAGACCAGCTCCCGACCCCGTCACAGAGGCCGGGTCACCCTTGTGAGGACGCTGGGGCTCCCACTCCGTGGTGCAGGCAGTGGTCCCATCCCCCAGCCAGTTACAAGGATGCCAGCCTGGCGATCGCTGTATAAATCCCTATTTGTTGGCTGGCTTGGTTACCGCCCACGGGCACACACGGGCCCTTAGATTGACTCGCGAGAGACAGACAGTGAACATGAACGCACTCGCTGCCACTGTGCTTGCGCTGACGGTAGAACCTGGGGCCGCGAACACTGTAGCCAACGACCTCCCTGTGAACTACGACCCCCAGTCCAGTGACCTCCCTGTGAACCAGGACCACTACCGTTCTTCCTCTTTCAGGGGAGGAAATTGAGGCCCAGAGAGCAGGTCACTTGCAAAGGCCGTGAGGTCCGGGACGGGCCCACGCCCCTACTCACTCGGCACCTGCAGATCAGCAGATCAAACCAACATGATGATCAGCAAAACACTCGATCAGTGGCTGTGATTTCGACTATTCGCTCAACCTGCAGATACAACTGTAGCTTTCTTTTTTCTTTCTTTTTTTTTTTGGCCTCACCACATGGCCCGTGGGATTTTAGCTCCCCGACCAGGGATCGAACCCTCACCCCATGCAGTGGAAACACAGAGCCTTAACCACTGGACCACCAGGAAGTCCCCAACAACTGTAACTTTCAATCTCAGGAGCTGACTGATGTCAGGTTGAGAGACCTCATTCTATACTGGAACCAGATATATTAGGCTACATCAGCAGGTTAAGGAAACATAAGAAATCTACTGATTAGGAGAGAGAGAAAAAAACCAAGGTACCCTCATCAGTTCTTCCAGGCAGGAGAGGTAGATTCTGAAGATGGCTGCTGCGGAGGGTGGCCCAATGTACTGCCTGATGTCAGCTCTGTCCACGAAGGCCACGTCGATCCTCTCCGTGATGTTGGACGTGGTGAGGATCACCACGTTGGAGTGCCTGCGGACAGAGAGGGGAGGACCGGTCATCCCATGCTGTAGGGACTCGACCACACCTGACCCGACACGAGAAGCGTCAGGACAGACGGCCACCAAGGTCCCGGGCACTCAGCCAGCGCCCTTCAGCCGGCTACACTCCCCCTCCGCACACCTGCCCACGAGGCCTTCCGAAGCCCTGCGCCTTGAGCTCCTGCCTGACCCCCAACTCCTGCCAGGTTCTCCTGGCTGCAACACAGCAGACCCTCCCCAGGCCGTGTGCCCTGGTCGCTCCCCTGCCTCCCGGAAAGCTCTCCCGGGCCCCTGCTTGACATCCCCCTGCCTTCCACCCACGGCGAACCCCTTACCTCTGCGCGCGCCCCTGAGCCCCCAGCACCTACACCCCCACCTGCCTGGGCACGGCCATACACAGGTACACAGCCCTCTGCAGGGTGAGCAGGGTGAGCCCGGGGCGGGGCGGGCACACAGGCCAGGAGGCTGGTGAGCCCAGGCTGCACGGAGGGCACACACACGCCGCTGGGACCCTTGTCCGGGGCTCGGGCTTTTCACAAATGGTCAGACCCGCACAGAGGCAGCGTGAGGTGAGCGGGGTGAGAGACAAACCAGAGCCCCTGTCTCCACTCCTCCCGGAGTGACGCGGGTGGTCCGGGGGCCCCATCTTCTGCCTTGAGCAGTGGGTGCACAGCAAGGCCATCAGTGCAATGGGAACCGCAGGGAGTTGGGGTTTCTGGGCCAAACGTGTGGACGCGCAGGTCTTCGATGGAGACTCGCCCACCAGATCCGTGAGCAGGGCGGGAGTGCAGGCCCTCCCCCGCCCAGAGATGCCGGGGAGGCGCCGGCAGCAGAAACGGAGTGGCCAGGAGAGCGGAGAGAGGGAGGGGCCCCTGGGGCTGAATGCCGCGGACGGTTCCACACTGAGCGCTGGGGTGGACGAGGGGGCAGTGGCAGGGGGAGAAACCAGACCGAAGAGTGGGGCGGTGGGGTGAGGGGGCAGAGACAAGAGGGTCTACACCTCACACGAAGTTCACCTGCAGGACAAGCAAGGGACGCCTGCCGCTGACCCCAACAGACAATGAGGATGTTCTCTGCCGTGAACAACACTGCGATGGCCAGGGTAAAGTCCGACACAGCGCAGTGTAGCTCACAGCACCCCACTCAGCAGACCCCCTTCTGAGCGCGGCACATGGACAGCGACGGGAGAACCCCGAGGGGCTGGCGGGAGACCGCACAGGGCAGACGGGGCTTCTCGTGAGTCAGGAGCCACCCCCAGAGCTGGACCGGCTTTGGGCACACTGGCCACAGGCCTGAGCTGTAGGACTGGGCTGCGGGCACACGAACCCGGCCCCGCGAAGGGCGAGCAGCTGGCGCCCCACCTGCCCAGTGCCGGCCCTTCAACGGCCACTGACACTGGGTCCTGCTGGCACTGACTCAGACACATTTATGCTTCTCTGCAGGGCACACATCCTCCCCACACCCCAGGTTTGTTTTGTATTTTTAATACTTTAATAAAGCAAAAAATACTTAATTTCTAAAACGTGCATTTAGCACAAGCTGCCTCAAATGTGGAGAAGACAGAGCCCACGCTCAATGTCAGATGCGTTCTTAGCTAGAAAAGCTGGGAGTAAGGCTGAGCGGTGTCCGTGCTTCTCAGGCAAGCCCGCTGTGCACAGCGTTACCTTTTGATCTGATCGATTTGGGTCAACACGGCGTTGACTACGCGGATGGCATCCGAAGGCTCGGCACCCGCCCTGCAGGCGTTGCGGGAAGCCGTTAGGCTCTCCACCTGTAGTGACGGAGCAACGGGGCGCTGTCAGCTGAGCAGACGCAGGTGTGGGCATGCGCACGTGCACCATGAGCCTGATGAGAGGGGTGCCCAAGGGGCAAGGACTGCAGGACACAGAGCCTGCGGAGGCTGGACCCGTGCGGGGCTGGCGGCGCCCCAGCAATTTACGAGGCCCCTCAGTCTTGAGCCTCCTCCAGTCACAGGTTTAAAGTCTGAACACACGCACCTCGTCAATCAGCACAAACACCAGAGCATCTTTGTCATCAATTAAATCCTGAATCTTCTGGAACATCCTAGTTACCAGCTTGCCACTCTGGAAGCAAAACACTCTTTATTATCCACTTGCACTCATCAAGCTGCCTGGTGTACACGTGTCCACTGTCCCCACCTGGCTTCGCTCTGACCCCAGGTGGCCGCACAAGCCCACCGTCTGCTGATGGCCCCTCAGAAAACTCCCTGAACCAGAGAAGCCAGTCTGCAGAGAACCCAGATGTCCTCCCTCCTGGCTTCGTGGGCCAGGGATGCATGGCTCAGGTGACTCGCACCTTGGCCCACCTGTCTTTCCTCCTTTCCCTTCCCGGTTGTCCTCATGACCAGGACAGCCTGGGTCTCGCATGCAAACCGGCCCAGTGCACCCCTTATGGGCACTCCCTGTCCCCACTCACCACCTACCAGGGAGACCACCTGACACAGGTGCCTGCGGCAGAGCCTTTCAGAGGTGAGGGGCACCTGTGATATCACCTGGTTGGAGTCCTTCAGTTCACAGATGGTGAACGAGGCTCAAGTCCCCAGTGCATGCTCAGCTGAGGGGTGCCGCCCCCGTTAGAAGGCAGACCCCTCCCTCCTAAGGTTACACTGAACTTCCTGTCCCACCCAGTCAGAGGTCTGGATGTGACGGGCAGAGGGTCCTCTCAGGCCTCACACTAGTTCCAAGTTACCGCTGAGCTCTGGAAGTTTTCTCTGACCACAAAGTCAGCCCCTTGTTCACTTTCCCATTTCACCTCTTTCTCTCCTAAAGCTTTTGGAGGAGAAAGTTTGCCTAATCTACAGGACAACTTGTCTACTGCATGGCTGACAATCCAGAACTGGAATTAGTAGTAACACTTACTTCTGAAAACCACTTAGAGAAGAGGCTGTGGCTGTTTATTTCAATTAACTGGCCATACCGGTACCTAAGACAGGAAAAAAAGAGTCACAGCAATTGTTACAAATCAGTCAGGCAGCCTCCTCTGCAGCAGCCACCTCCACCTCATTAATGCAGCATCTCTCAAATGCCCAGCAGGCTGAGAATGGCTACTTTGTTAAATCGTTACAGCCACTGACACAGGATTGGGCTACCTCGCAAGCTATATACTAAAAATTATGAAAACTCTAACAAGATGCATCAACGCCAATAGTTCTAGATGGAGCAAATTAAGTTTCTTGAACTGAACAGTACCTTCATTTGAATTAAAGCAAGAATAAAATCCCTCTCATTTTAAATCTACTTATAATTTACACTTCCATATTGAAAAAGCATTACCTGCACTAACACAGCAAACAAATCAAAACACAAGCATGAAAAATTTTTTGGCCAGAGCGGAACATTTTTTCCTCCTTCCACTAAACTGTAAAGAATGTGACAATTTGTTTTCCAGCACAAAATCACTTCCTGCAAACCTAGAGCCCTGGAAAGCTCAAAAGGGAACCTGGACACATACTGACTGAAATCCAGCACTAACACTCCATCCACCAAGGAGGTGGCAAGAGATCTGGATGCACTTAGTTCTGACTAAAATCGAACAGGAAACAGGCCCGAGAAAAGCTAACTCCCAGGTCCTCTTCACAGTTTCTTTCATGTCAAAAGTCCACAGAAGAAAAAGAATTACTTTTAAAAAGTACCATTAATTTTCCAGTTGAAAAAGACCATTTACTAATTCTGTTTAACAAAATAGGAGAAGGGGGAGACAGACAACCTAACGATCCGGTTGACTATTAGACAAAATTAATTATAAAGCATTTTGATTATTAAGTGAAGTGGGCGAAAAAGGCTTGCTGCGGCTTCTTTCTGCCACAAAATAAGTACAGATTTCCAGATCTTTGTACTGGAAAAGTCATGTTTCTTGTAATAACACCTCCCCCTCTGGTGGCTTACGAAACTGCCCTTAAGAGGTCTTCAAAACACAGATGCATTTCACTATGTAAAGCCCAAGGCCAAGTTACTAAACGTAAAAAAAAAGGGTTGAAATAAAGCAATTTCCCTACTTATAAGACATTTTTGAAAACAAAATAGATTTCAAAGTAAATCTCACAGGGTTTCCTCTTCTAGTCATACTGGATCAACAGGGGTCATATTTACCTTCTGCCTTAACCAACTGGAAAACCAGTCAGAACAAATGAAACATCTGTGGCAGGCACTGGACAACAGCTCCGGAGGACTGTGACCCGAGAGGACGGCAACGGGGCGAGCGCGACCGCCCTGACTTCCTGCCTGGCGCACCTTCCAACAGTGACCGTGGGGGGGACCCAAGAAGAGTGGCCATCAGGCTGAGTCGAGGAGACAGAGGCCAGAGTTCAAGGAGCCTGAGGTGTCTGGAGGCTACAGAGCAGGGTTCCAGAGAGGAGGGGGATACACAGGAATAAAGCTCCAGAAACCATCACGGGGCCCTGGAGTCTTTCCTGGGTATGTGGTGTGTCTGAGTAGGGAAACCTTGGCGCTCATAGGCCGGGAGTGTTCAAGGCCCCAACAGCCAAAGTGCAGAGTACTCGCTGCTCATTTAGGGGCTCAACTGAGACCCGAGAAGGGCCCCACCTGAGGGTTAAGCCTAGACCACATCGAGACCCCTCTCGAACAAAGCTTAAAAAGAGACCTCAAAAGGATCACACCAAAGACAAGTACACAAACGCCTGCCAGAACAAAACCCAGCAGCTTAAAGACAGACCACAGAATCCAGACGCTTGAAATAACGTCCGGATTCAATCAAAAATTACCTGACACGCCAAGAAGCAGAAACATGTGTCCCGTAACCTGACCCAGATGATAATGACAATGGACTTGGTAGACAGAGCATAAAACAGCTATCATACACTTACCCAAGGATTTAGCAAGAACACAATGGGACAAGAAATATAAGTATGAAAGGAACCAAACAGAATCTCCAAAGAAAAATACACTATCAGAAACAAAAATTTCACTGATAGATCGTATACTGCAGAAAACTCTCAAAAATGAAACACAGACAGAAAACTTTTAAAACCTGAAAAGAACATAAGAGCACATCAGTGGCCTGTGGGACAATATCAGGCAGTCTAACATGTAAACAAATGCAGAGAGCAGGGGATTAGCTGAAAAGATAACAGCCGAATAGTCCCTAAATGTGATACAACTATAAGCCCCAAAACTGACAAAACTCAAGGAGGAACAGACAAGCGCAGCGCTAGGCTTGGACAGTCCTCCCAGGAAGCGACAGAACAGCAGACAGATGATCAGCATGGACATCAAGCATCCTGAGCTGACATACATGCAACAAGCGACCCAACAAGCGCAGAAACACGTTCTAAGTGCACGTGGTGGGACAGTCACCAGAAGAGACCATGTGCTGGTCATAAAGCAAGTCTCAACACATTTAAAAAGACTGGAATCATAACTCAAGACAATGCTGAGTACAGAGGAATTCATTAATTTACACTGAAAGACAGAGGCCTATTATTCATGTAAAATGATTTAAAAATAAAACCAGTTTCCATTGTTATAATTGAAAACCCAGCAAAACCCACTTCTGTGGCTCTCCTCTCTCAAATTACCGAAGTTACCTGCTTGAGAGTCTGATGGTCAATTTCTGCGCTAAAGCTTTACACAGGGATGTTTTTCCAGTTCCTGGAGGACCTGTAACAAAATGCAAGCAAATATGTTTTTAAGTTAGTGCTGTAACAAATTTCTTAAACAACAGTAGTTGCATTATCCACAGGATATAAGATAACAAACAGACTTCAATGCTACGAATGTTATTACCACAAGTACCGCTGTGAACTTACAAAGAAATCTCCTAGCGGTGTAAATGCTAGAAAACATCACCCAGTATGCCTCCTGGCCCACAGTCTGCTCCACGTTCCTTTGTCCACATCTTCACTGACATCCTCCTCGTCCCCACACGTCCTCTATGAAATCCACTGATCATGAAAATCCACCTTTCAAAAGTCAAACACACCTTTCCTGGTAGCCGTCAGGAGCCTGAAGGCACTGGCATTTGCTCTTTCTGAAGCCATGGAACCACCGTCTTCCACTCCAGGTACCTGGACGTGGGCCCGAACCCCACGCTACACAGGCAGAGCCGTAAGGCGAGGGCTTGTGCCCTAAGTGTGTGTCACTTAGCACAGCGTTTTGCAGGAACTCTGAGGTAACTGATGTGGAAGCACGAACCCATCCAATAGAAAATGCTGACACGTTCAACTCTGATTTTCTGCGTTTTCCATAGTTTAAGAGTAAATATACGACCAATTCTAAGTGGAAGTAATGTACTGCACTAATTAAAACGCCTCCTGATTGCCTACACTGACCCTGGTATTAAGACAATCTGCCAGAATACGTGCTATTTAAAAGACACTGTTTTCTTTAAGTTGTACACAAGCCTACCATCTTCATCGTATAAAGAGGCTGGTTACCCTTTTAATCATAGCTCCTACTTCACCATAATTGGGGTTTTCTCTCGATTCTTTTCTCTCCAGGGACATTAAGCAAGAAAACCCAGTATTCTCCTCCAAGAACTAGACAGGGTCCCATAAAGGTGGCTTTTGCAGTTTATTACCCATCAAGGGAAGCTCTAAGGACACTATGAAGAAATGCGAGGCAACTGCTATCCTAAGGAGTCCCCGATCAATCGGAAAATAAGGCAGTTATTTGAAACGTTTGATAATAGTATAAAAAGCCACAAGGCATAATCAGGTGGCTGCCAAATGAAGGGCCAAGTAACCAAAGCCCAGATAGCGTGAGCCCGACTGGCTTCACAGAGGAGGACGTTCTAGGACAACTCTGGCCCCGCCGGAAGAAAGAAGCTGCGACTCCTGGCAGGACGAAGCCACAAGCGAAAGCCTGGCTTCGCGCAGCGGATCCTGTCGCGCACACGAAGCTGCGGCGCTTTACCGTGAAGCAGAGCCACCCGGTTCCAGGCGACGAGGGTGCTGTCGACGTTCTTGTCTGAAAACAGCAACGCTGTCATCACGTAGTCAAGGAGCTGCGTGCAGAAAGGAAAGTACAGATAAAGTCCCCAGCGAGGCAAAGGTTCCGCTGAACGTGCCCTAAACGAGCAGAGCGACGGGAGTCTTCAGAGAAGACTGCCACGGCCAGACGCCTGCCACACACCTACAGGCTTTCAACTCGGACCGTAACTCGGGACATAAGAGGACGAGCGCTGGCTGTTACTGTTTTAAGGATAAAACGTGAACACAAAGATCCCTTTTATTTAAAATGCCAACGACACACAAAACTACTGAGGGACACGCCAAGTAAGAGTGAGCTCCTTCCTCTGGGACACAGCAGTGGACCAGCACACAGCACATTCACTGAGAGAACAACAGCCAGGGCTCTGCGGTCCACTGTGGCTGCCTAGAGGAGCCTGGCGTGATGACGGGTGGTGGGGACAGACCCCTAGTGTCCCCCAGCGTGCAGGACTCTTCCCCTCGAAGGGGGTTCAGACACGTTGGTACCTGCTCAGACCTGCCGACCTGCTCGGTCTGCCCCTCGGCACTGCCTCCTCAGCCCACGGGAGTGACCACGTGCACGTGCTTGGTCATATCAAGCGTGTGACCCAGTGCAAGTGGTCCTCACCCTCCCAACGCTCCCCCTTCTCCCAAGGGGAACTCCCCGGAGGGCAGCTCCACTCAGGAGCAATCCCACAGGACAGGAATCCAGGACATGGGCTGCTGGTCAGCAGTGCTCACAAAAGCCCATCTGAGCTAAGGAGCTACAGAGTGACACGATAATGATTCTACTCCAAATAATGGGGTCTTTTGGGAAAAATGCACAACTCACGTGAGATTTGATTTCCACATCATACACCAGGCTGTCCCAAAGCCCGTGGAATTCAGCTGAGAGAATAAAACAAAAACCTAATTTTAGGAAAGGAAGCCTTGCACCTACTGGTTAGGTCTGCCCTGAGCCACTGATGCCCTCCACTGCTCCACACGCGGTAAGCTAAAATTCTGGTTACAGGGAAGCTCAACTTTTTAAATTGTTCTTAAAATTAAAGATGTTGAATAAATGGCAGTCACACGTGGCTTTGAATAGATAATTAACCTCTTTGTCATATTATTCTGCACACCTGCCTTTGTGGACCTATGCTCGGACACAAGCACAGACCCTGAACCCACCACTCTCCCCACGAGCCGACATTCCAGCAGGGCCGAGCGGCGGGTCTATTCTAGTCGTTAGGACATCAAGCCTAACCCGGATTAGAAGCAGGATGCTGCCTGCTAGACCCCATCGGCAAAGTTCACGGAGGAGCATCGAGAAGGCAGGAGAAAGCAGTGGTCCAGCAAGACTGACCAACTGGGCAGGAAAGCAGAGCACCAGTGTAATTCTCAACTGGCACTGTCTTTGAGGGATCCATCCAAATGGGTTCATACTGGAAGTTTCTACCTTTCTCTGCCGTGATAGACTTTCTATTTCGTGACAGATAAAACATTCTCAACTTCTACATGGAGGGCGAAATCTCCTTGACAAGCCCAAGGCGCGTGCCATCCTCCAGCCTCCCATCCTTGGCACGCGCTGCCTACTGTTACTGTCACAGGTACCTGCAGGCAGCACCCAGTGGTTTGCCGCAATTATATTTTCTGTCTCTTCCTCCAAATTTTCACTGCTGGGGCCATCTTCATTCAGCTGGAAGATGTGAAGTGCAATAGTGCACATGCTCAAATCAATGGGCTGCGACAAGAAGGAAACATCAAATAAATCTACACAACACGCTCTCCAAACAGCAAGTGCACGTTCACGGGGCCACTGAGAATTAGTAAGTTACCTGTGGATCTTTAGCCTTTAATTCCGTGTCAACAATGGACACAGACTGCACGTTTCTGGTCAGAAAAGGCTCATCAAACTCAGTCCATGTGTAATCGCCAAACACAATATTATGTCTATTGAGGAGCTTTCTAACACTCAGCTTTAGATCTTCTTTTTTTGCAGTGCTAGGAAAACAAACAAAACATGTACATCTGGTCTGAGTTAAAAATCAACATTTTAACAATAAGTAATTTAAAAAAAAGAAAAAAAACCAGACGGAACAGGGCAAAGTGCAGCAGTGAAGAGGGCAGGCGGGAGGGCCTGCCTGGGGAGCAGAGCTGCGCGGACTCCTCGTGACCTGGGGAAGCCGCCCAAGGGCTCTGTGCCCCAGGTCCCCATCCGAAGAAGGGGCGACGGCAAGAGTCGGTGCCACGCTGGGCTCCTGGAGGTCAGTCACTACGCTGGAGCTGTGCTGGATAACGCGAGGCCCACCGTGAAGCCCGCAAAGCGCAGCCGCAGTGACAGGGCTGTGATTAGCGGAGGCTGGAAGCCCCACAGCTGCGGCGGCGGGCGACGAGGCCGTGAGCTGCGGACCGCTGCGGACCCTTCAGCCCCCCTGCCCGCTGCTTCCCAGACCTCGCAGGCCCTTCGGCTGCCCCTAGAGCCCCCTCCCGCCGCCGCCCGCAGGGGCCCGTCACCCGCCACCGGCACCCCCGCGGCCCCGGCCCCTCCCCGCCCACCGAGGCCAGACAGGGTTCGCCGGGGATCGGGACTGCGGGCGAGGGTGCGGGGTCAGGGCCGTTTCCCCAGACTCGGGGCTCCTGCGACCGGCTGTCCCCGAGCCTGGCGTTCCCCGGCGGGGCCGGGCCTGAGTCCGCTTCGGGATCGGAGTCGGCTCCTGTCAGGGCGGGATCTGGTAGGGGTCAGGCTTGGGGGGGCGGGTCGAGGTCGGGTGTTGTCAGGTCGGGGCTGCGCCGCGGTCGGCTCGGGGCCCGGCTCCCCTGCCGCTCCGCTGGTGGACCTCCACATGGACGGTCGGCGCCTCGGCCACGCAGGGCAGCGCCTGCTTCAGGTCGCCCACGGCCTCGTCCATGGAGCCGCCGCCGAGAGCCGAGAGGACTGGACCGGACCGCGGCTGCCGCCGCCTCTCGCCCCGCGCCGCCGCCACCGCCGCCGCCACCGAAACAGCCTCAGCCCTCCGCCGCGCCCGCGCTTCGAACTTGCCGCGCGCAGCGTCCCGCCCCCTGACCCGGAAGCGCCGGCGCCGGCGGGCGGGTCACTTCCGTCCGCGACGCTCGCTTCCGGCGCGATCCCGTAAGCTCCGCGGCTAGGCCGGCGGAGAGCCGGGGCTGGGGGTCGGCGGCCAAGGTGCGGCAGGGCTCGCTGCTGCCCTCGGCGCCGTCGCCATGGGCAAGAAGCACAAGAAGCATAAGGCCGAGTGGCGCTCGTCGTACGAGGGTGAGGCGGCGGACGCGCTTTGTGACGCCGGGAGGGCGGACGGGCGGACGTTCGAGGCGGCGGGGATCCCGGGGACGAGAGCGGGGGTCCGGGGCGCGCCGGCGGGGGTCTCGGGGCCGCGCCTCTCAAGCGTCCGTCTAGCTCTGGCCGCATCCTGGAGAGAAGCGCTGAGCACCTGTGTGGTTCTTCGTCCGTGTTTCCCGAGGTCTTCTCCCGCTTTTCCCGCCTGTGCCCTGGTCCGGCAGCCCCTGGTCCCGGTGTCAGGGACGCCGCACGGGGGCTGCTGCAGGACAGGAAGGGGGTGACCACGGGCCAGGACCTGGGGGTAGGGGATTGTGCGCCTGGGCCCCAGGCGTGGTCTGGTTCCTCCCCCCTGAAGTGACCCAGAGATCTCCCTGCAGCCCCCCTGAGAATGTCTGTGGGCGAGGGGGAGGGAGCATCCCACCTGTCTTTGCACCCAGCAGCGTCTTCCGCTGTTGGTTTTGGCATTCCTCTGCTATCCACCTGGGCTCAGCCGATCCCCCCCACCTTCCTGGGCCTCTGTGTCTTCCCCGTGACACCCCACCCTGGGCCCACCGTGCTGCCGACAGGGCAGCAGTATGCGCCTCTGAGTGCCCTGAGCACACACGGTGAAGGCTGCCTGCGTGTCCACAGACTATGCAGACAAGCCTTTGGAGAAGCCCCTGAAGCTGGTGCTCAAGGTTGGAGGAAGTGAGGTGACAGAGCTCTCGGGGTCCGGCCACGACTCCAGTTACTACGATGACAGGTCAGACCACGAGCGAGAGAGGCACAAGGAGAAGAAAAAGAAGAAAAAGAAAAAGTCGGAGAAGGAGAAGCACCTTGACGATGAAGAAAGAAGGAAGCGAAAGGTGAGCGAGGGCGGCCGGAACCCCTGGGGGGCAGGTGGAGCAAGGGCTTCCTGGCCTCCGGAAGCCGGTGTTCCGTAGGGTGCGCCGTGCAGAGGTCGGTTCCTTCGGTTTTGGCTCTTTGCGCATCATTCCTTGTCTGGTCCCTGGGGGGCGGGTCTTTGAAGGGTGGTGGCCTGGAGTAAGAAGGGGCTCTGGAAGAGGGCTTTTCTCTCTCAGCTTTGCCTGAGGAACGCGAGGTCTGCTAACAAGCGCCTCATTGCTCTCGCTGCCTTGCCCCTGCCTCACAGGAAGAGAGGAAGCGGAAGCGGGAAAAGGAGCTCTGTGACACGGAGGGAGAGGCGGACGACTTTGACCCCGGCAAGAAGGTGGAGGTGGAGCCGCCCCCCGACCGGCCTGTCCGCGCGTGCCGGACACAGCCAGGCAAGTGGCGGCGTTTTCAGAGACGTCCCGGAGCTTTGGAGCTTGTCGCTGTGAACTAGTGGTTGGCATCCGCCCTTCAACTCTTGGGAGAAGCATAGGAAGGAAGGAACAGCATTTTCTCTCCCAGGGCCTCACACAGAGTAGCTGGATGGACCTAAGGTTCTTGCCGTCCTCTCTGAACTCCTAGAGCAGCGCTCGGCCCACCACTTCTCCTGGCCTTTTTTTTTTTTTTTTTTTTTTTTTTTTT